ATATTTCGATATACATTGCCAGTGTTTTCCATACATTGGTTTATTTGTGGCGTTTGACTTCGTTGAATAAACATGAGCACTGCACGTTTCAAAATCAAAACGCGTCGCAGGTGTTTTATATGAATGTATCTCTGAAGGGAACCGATTGTCTTCCGAACAGTTTAGATGGCATTTTTATCTGATAAAGTATCGTTCATGAGCGGAGCTGCTTTGTTTACAGCCGTTCCTGGAGAAACCGTTAGTTCCACCGCTCTCACAGCGCCTCCTGCTGGCAGACAATCAGTTTGCGTTTTCAATAATAAACCCATTTCCAGTAACATGCTTTTGTTGTTGCTCTAACTCGGAGCATGTTTCATACTCGTTATCCTGGTTAATGCACGTTTCAATCTATAAGAATAATCAGCCTACACTACTAGTCAAAGGTTTTTGAACTGCAAGATTTTTAATGTTTCTTAAAGAATTATCTTCTGCTCACCAAGCCTGCATTTATTTGATCCAATAGAAAGCAGTTATTTATATTTTAAAATGTTACTGTTTTTGGTGCATTTTGGATCAAATAAATGCAGGCTTGGTGAGCAGAAGAGAATTCTTTAAGAAACATTGCCTGTTTACCACGTCTCTTAAATAAAGCCTGCAGATGGATCCACATGTCTCAAGTCTTGTCAGCCCCGTTACAATACCATTCAAAAGCTCTTTTTAAAATTTATATTATAGAAATTATTACTTTCATTTAGCAGGGATGTTTTAAATTGATCAAAAGTGATGATAAAGACATTTATAATGTTACAAAAGATTTCTATTTCAGATAAATGCTGTTCTTCTGAACTTTCTATTCATCAAAGAAACCTGAAAAAAAATCTACTCCGCTGTTTTCAACATCATAATAATAAATGTTTTTTGAGCAGCAAATCAGAATATTAGAATGATTTCTGAAGGATCATGTGACTGGAGTAATGATGCTAAAGCTCTGCTTTGAAATCACAGGAATAAATTATATTTTCAAATAGAAAACAGTTATTTTAAATAGTAAAAATATTTCAAAATGTTACTGTTTTTGCTGTATTTTGGATCAAATAAATGCAGGCTTGGTGAGCAGAAGAGAATCTTTTTAAATACATTAAAAATCTTACTGTTCAAAAACTTTTGACTGGTATGTGAAGTAAAAAATATTAATAAGGAGAGTCTGAGATTTATTTGACAATGATTTCACATTTCTTGTTTGGCGGGATTCATTCGTGAAGAAAACACCTCTCCAAAGTGCCAGACGCCATTGAATGTGACCATTTGCCCACTCAAGTCGGTTATGACGACGAACTGCAGTCAGGTCGAGACCCCAATGAGGACGACGAGCATGCAGATGAGCTTCCTGGAGATGGTTTCTGACAGTTTGTGCAGAAATTCTTTGGTTATGCAAACCGATTGTTGCAGCAGCTGTCCGGGTGGCTGGTCTCAGACGTGGAGGTCCTGGGCTGGCTGTGGTTACACGTGGTCTGCGGTTGTGAGACCGGTTGGATGTACTGCCAAATTCTCTGAAACGCCTTTGGAGACGGCTTATGGTAGAGAAATGAACATTCAATTCACGGGCAACAGCTCTGGTGGACATTCCTGCAGTCAGCATGACAATTGTACGCTCCCTCAAAACTTGCAACATCTGTGGCATTGTGCTGTGTGATAAAACTGCACATTTTAGAGTGGCCTTTTATTGTGGCCAGCCTAAGGCACACCTGTGCAATAATCATGCCGTCTAATCAGCATCTTGATATGCCACACCTGTGAGGTGGATGGATTATCTCGGCAAAGGAGAAGTACTCACTAACAAAGATTTAGACAGATTTGTGAACAATATTTGAGAGAAATAGGTATTTTGTGTACATAGAAAAAGTCTTAGATCTTTCAGTTCAGCTCATGAAAAATGGGGGCAAAAACAAAAGTGTTGCGTTTATAATTTTGTTCAGTATACATAAGTGTTAGTAATACTTCTCCTGCTTTGAATCATTAGATCAATGTAAATAAATAAATAGATAAAAAATTCTCAAAAAAAGAAATAATAATAATTCTTCAGCCATGAAAGTTCAATAATGCATTCAACTCCAGGTCACTGCTAGGCTTTGATAACACTGTTGCCCTAACCACAATGACAAACTCCAACTGTTATCAGACAGGAGTTTATGTGGCCCTGTGATCTTCACTTACAGGCTATACATTTTTTACCAGTATGTAAAAAAGCATTACTCTTCCTATGTATCCCCAGTGATACCTACAGGGTGTTGCTACTAAGGGTCTGTTGAGACAGTTCCTTCAGCGAGCTCATGGAAATAACAATTTATTTCACAGTTCTTCTCCCCCGAGTTACGTCTTCCGCCATTTTGGAGAGTACCCAAGAGCATAATCGACATAATCAGCATTGTTTACGTTCGGGGGAGAAAGCGTGTGTATGAACGTAATCTGCGTAATCAGTGTTGCTTACGCTTAGGGGAAAGCATGCGTATGCATTATGATGCTCTCTAAAATGGCGGAAGACGTAACTCGGGGGGGAGAAAGCGTGTGTATGAACGTAATCTGCGTAATCAGTGTTGCTTACGCTTAGGGGAAAGCATGTGTATGCATTATGATGCTCTCTAAAATGGCGGAAGACGTAACTCGGGGGAGAAGAATTGTTGAAAAAATTTTTATTTTGGTTTTCTTTGCGCTCAAAAAGTATTCTCGTAGATTCGCAAAACTGAAGTTGAGCCACTGATGACACATGGACTGTTTTTACCGATGTCCTTACAACATTTCTGGAAATGGGAACTTTCAATTTGCGTTGTTGTCTATGCAGGGTCTGAGAGCTCTCACATTTCTTCAAAAAAATCTTAAAGGGGTCCTATTATGCTCTTTTACAAAGTCTTGATTTTGTTTTGGGGGTGTACTAGAACATGCCCTCATGCTTTGGTGGTTCGAAAAACGCATTATTTTACACATAATTTACATTATTAAAATACCTTTCTCCCCAGGCTGGCACAAACGGCTCGATTAGTTACGGCTTTGATGAAGGTCCACCTTCCGAAAAACAAAATGTGTTGTGATTGGTTTTGAGCCACTGATGACACATGGACTGTTTTACTGATGTCCTTACTACATTTCTGGACCTGGGAACATTACACTCAGTTGCGTTGCTGTCTATGCAGGGTCTGAGAGCTCTCAAATTTCATCAAAAATATATTAATTTGTGTTCCGAAGGTCTTATGGGTTTGAAACGGCATGAGGGTGAGTAATTAATGACAGAATTTTCATTTTTGGGTGAACTATCCCTTTAAGTAAATGTATGTGGGGTAGAACCACATTTTACGTAAAATAAGCAAATAAGGAAAAGCAGCACAGTTATGTTGCTCTAAATATCTTTACATATCTTTATTCATTCAAGTTCATTGCCTTACACAAGCATGACAGTCCAGACAAGAATGCTGTTAACCCTAAGGGCAGATGAAAGTTAATTATTTAGCAAACAGGTATTTTGCAGATGAACAATTTTAGTGTCATAAAGTACACAGTTCATTATGGATAAGACAGCACACTTTATAGAAACTGTGAATTTAAAAGCCCAACTCAGTAACAACGAAACCTATAAACAACAAAAGCACAATCTTACAACAAAACCTTAGCTTTTTCTACATGACATTTGTATGAAACAGCACAGATTTCATATTAGTACCCATTATAATCACCCCTTGCTTGCCTTTGATCTTAATTTGACCACAGAATGTTTCCATAATGGTTCTCTGTTGTTAATGGAAATGTTTTAAATGCTTTAAAACAGTGCTACTTAGCTTTTTTTATTAAAGAGATGAGACTACTTTTTTTTTTTTTTTTTTTTTTTTTTTTAAATGGTTCAAACATGAGGCTTGTTGCTTCATAAATCATAAAACCACAATCGTGAAAAACACTGGAATACAAAATTACAGAAATGTGAAAAGCTGGAACTGTGCTGATGTAAAAAATCAGTAAGCCATTGCACAACCCTATAATAATTTCTGGTACTGCGTAATAATTATGTGGCTTATTTAATATTCATTGTTGTGAGTTATGCATTCAGAAGGTGCTGCTGCTGTAACAATCTTGTACTGGGGTTGCACTGGTCGTGTTTTAGACAGCTTCTTCAGCTGACAGCCCAGACACAGTGAAAGCCCCACACACCACAAAGTTGTCTTTCACACCACTCTGTCCCTCATGCTTCATAACAAAAGAGAACAAAAGAAGTGAAAGTGAATGCGACCACAGTTTGAAAAGGGTCATTTCACTGGTGGCAACATTTACCCAATCCACTCAAATGTCAGTTACATTAGGGGGATGGGACAGGAGAACATACTTGTTTCTACATGCCTTTTTTCTGGTTTCAAGCAATTAAATTACCCTAAGAGACACTTGTGCCATCTCCTTACATTCCTGTACATTTTGTCCAATTCTAAAACACTAAAATTAAAGTTGACACATTTAATATTACCATCATATAAGCAACTACCATCATCATCAAACATTAACAGGGTTCTGTTCCCTAAACAGGACTATATGCACAATAATGTGCCAAAAATTGAGTGCTGCCTCAAAGAGTTTAAAAGGGGTTAGGGTTATTAAATGCAAAAACACTCAATTCAATGTTTGTGTAAGTGGATGAAATATTTGTAGGAGACATATCTTGAATAGTATGCCTACAAATTAAAATATGAAATAAATCTAATTGGTTAAAAGAGCAGGTGCAATAAACAGGAGGGCAAAAACCTAACTCTATCACCCAATGCAAGTAGGATATGTGTACACTTTATACATTTCCTCCCTATACCTACAATTACTATACCTCAACCTAATGCAATAAACAGGTTTCTCACAGAGGGCTACAACTTAAATTTATTAAAACACAGGAATGCATTTAGCTTTCTGTTTACACTCCAACATGAAGACGAGTTGCAACAAGTAATTTCGCACATTTGTTAGAACTGACGTCACTCAAACAGTGGTAATCCTACCTCTAGAATGTGGTCCAGGTCAGCCTTTGTAAGACATGGGAATTGTTTCAATATTTTCTCCTTTTCTGCTTTATAATTCTTTACTGCGATCTCCCAGTTCGGTTCCTCGATGACTTGGAATATTGCTGCCCCAATGGACAGGTAAAAAATGATAGCCGAAGTCAGAAGGGGACCCTTGTCCACCATAATGAGGTCAAATAATGTGGAGTGACTCTTAAAAAAAACTACTCTGACAGCTCCCACATTCTCACTATTAATTAATTTAGCGTGAGCTCAAATTTACAGCGTCATACGGCACAGTTTCTTGTTCGGAATAAACACAAGACTAACGAAACATAATTGTAAACTGTGTGAAACGGTATATCCAGCAAATCAAATGTCATTTAACAATTTTTTATTTTAAGTCGCCGGGAGAGTTTGCGGTCCACGTGCGCCACTCGCATTGCTAGTGTAGTGCTCTGATGAAACTCTTGACTCATCTGGTAGTTCAACATGCCATGAGAGGAGGACGTTGGCCAAGATCCACCCACTAGCTATAGTCCACTCCCCACTCTATCAGTCTCGTCAATAACAACATTATACTTTGTTTCAATAAACTAAATGAGACTATTGTATAATTATTAAAAACACAAACATATATGCATGCTCTCCTCTATTAGTTTTTACATCCATCTCCTTGCTCTAAAATAAGGATTAAACATTTTTTTTGTAGAAATGTTTGTAATGAAGCACAATTTCATGTGAAAACGAAAGTAAGTTTTCTGTGGACAAAAACTGATTTGGAATGAAAGGATAGGCCTATTTCTTGTCCACCCATTTTCTCTCCATCATCAAATATCAGAAAGTTCTCTTTCTTGGCTCACCCCTATAATGTTCTATAATTTTGTGAAACAAAAAAAACGCATGTAAAACTGATTACTCATGTTTAACTTAAGCTATTTTTCATGTGTGATTCATATCTCTTAACTATTTTACAGTTTCAAATTGAAGTAGTTTCAATTTAACAGCTTCTCGTCTGCCTTTATGAACAGACTAATGGCAGTTTATAGCTTAAAGGGGTCATATGATGCTTTTTTAAAGATCACTATTTTGTGTATTTGGTGTAACAGAATATGTTGACATGCTTTAATGTTCAAAAAACACATTATTTTTCCAAATACTGTACATTATTGTAAGCCCTCTATGCCCCGCCTCTCTCAAACGCTTGGTTTTCTACAAAGTCCCTCCTTCCGACAAGCGCAGTCTGCTCTGATTGGCCAGCTGACCCAGTGCATTGGGATTGGCCGAACACCGCAAGCACTCGTCGGAAATGTAACGCCCCTTACCATAATCGCGAGCTTCAGCTTTCAAAATAAATGTAAAGACAGAGCCTGAAAGGGGAACAGAGTCACGTGACAGACACAGTGATGAATATGTGTTTGCAGTACGGTTAAAACAGCTGACTCCACTGTGATCTCTCTCTCTCTCTCTCTCTCTCTCTCTCTCTCTCTCTCTCTCTCTCTCTCTCTCTCTCTCTCTAGCTCTCTCTCTCTCTCTCTCTAGCGCTCTCTCCCTCTCTCTCTCTCTCGGTGCATGCTGGGAGTGTTTGGGGTGCGTGTGAGGGTGCTTAAGTGTGAGAGTGCATCGAGTGATTTGGGTTTTTTTCAGCTTGTATATCTACCTATTTTTACGTTTTTCTAATCATTTGAATGATTATTTTCTTTCAAAAATAACATTAGATTTTTTTTTTTGTGAGTGTTTTGGAACTTTTAAGGCGGCATTGGGATGGTGTCTACCCCCGCAGGGGTGGCGTCACCTGTGTCGCTCCGCCATGGAGTCAGGGGTGTAGCTGCGCAGGGATCTCTCTCTCTCTCGGTGCATGCTGGGAGTGTTTGGGGTGCGTGTGAGGGTGCTAACGGGGAGAGGACGGGTGTTTTGGGGTTTTTTCAGCCTATATATCTACGTATATCTACCTATTTTTTTCGTTTTTCTAATCATTTGAATGATTATTTTCTTTCAAAAATAACATTAGATTTTTTTTTTTTGTGAGTGTTTTGGAACTTTTAAGGCGGCATTGGGATGGTGTCTACCCCCGCAGGGGTGGCGTCACCTGTGTCGCTCCGCCATGGAGTCAGGTGTGTAGCTGCGCAGGGAGTCACTGTTGAAGATGTGCTGCTAGCAATTGGAGAAAAAGTTGGATATGAAAACATTACTTCGGCATCCAGGATGAATAAAGCAGTAGTGGTGTTTGTCGAGAAAGAAGATATAGTTAACAGGTTAGTAAGCGACGGAATTGTGGTAATTGGCGATTTTCTTATAATTTCACTGCTTGTTACTCCAAGGACTAGAGTTACGATATCGAATGTGCCTCCTTTTATTCGGAATGATGAAATTGAGAAGGCTTTAACGCGATATGGTAAATTGGCTAGTGAGATTAAGATGATTCCATTGGGGTGTAAAAATGCAGCTCTGAAACATGTTATGTCTTTTCGGCGACAGGTGTTTATGTTCTTAAATGAATCAGAGTTGGATATTTCGTTCAGAGTGTTGCATGAAGGGAAAGCGTATGTTATTTATGCGAACATTGGAAGCATGAAGTGTTTTGAGTGCGGGGACATCGGGCACAAAAGGCACGCATGCTCGCATAAGGCCCAGGTTAGTGAAGTGGAAGTTAGGCCTAGTACTTCTGCTACTGGTGAGAGTAGTAAGTCAACTTCTGAGCATGTGCAGCCTCAAGCTCCATCACAGAGAAATACGGATAGTGATGGATTGATTGAAAGACAGACTGAGGATGTTAATGAAATGGTTGATTCTGGTAGAAATCATGATGATTCTAAAGTGGATGGTAATAGTGTAAAGAATGATGATGCAGCTACGGTTAGTGTTGAAAGGGATTCTAATGACAATTCTGAAATGTCTAATTCTGCTGAAATGTGCATTGATGTCGATTTGGAAATGAGAGATGATGATACGTTCTCTGAGATATCTGACATTGGATCACAGTGTGGAAGTGTGGAAGATGTATATACATTGCAAGATATAAATGACTTTCTAGATGCAACCTTCGGTAGAAATATTGAAGTTAAAGATTTTTTTCCAGATGTAGATAAATGCATTCATACAGTGAAATTGGTGCGGAGATATGTTGGCTATGAGGCCTTAAGTAAACAGAAAAGGTTCAGGCTGAAGAAGATGTTAACAAAACTAAGAAAGGACAAAGCAACTGTCTCACAAAACAAATCAAATGTTTAAATCACATGGGGTAAAGATCTTGTTCTGCCTTTCTTTCCTTTTTTTGTCCTCTTTATATTTTTTCCTTTTCATGGAGCTGTTGAGGGTGGGCTCTTTAAATATAAATGGGGGTAGAGATGGAAATAAATTGGCAATGGTATCAGAGTTATTTAGTATTAAGAAGATAAATGTAGCTTTTTTACAAGAAACACATACTAATTTAGACAATGAATCTGAATGGAATAGATGGTGGGAGGGAAAAAGTGTTTTAAGTCATGGGACAAATACAAGTGCTGGCATAGCCATTTTGTTTTCTAAAGAAATGAATGTAAATATTTGGTTGTAGAAGAAATCGTAAAAGGAAGAATATTGCTGTTAAAGGTGGAATATGAGGGATCTGTGTTTGTATTGATAAATGTTTATGTACCAAATAATGGACCTGAGCGTGTGAAGTACTTTTTAAAGTTAAGGAATGCTATTCAGAAAATTGATGATGATATTTGCACAATTATTGGAGGGGATTGGAATTGCACTGTTGATTTTATTATTGATAGAAATGGAGAAGAACCCCATCATGGATCCAGTTGTGTATTGTCAAATATTTTAAAAGAGTTTGAATTAATAGATATTTGGAGAAGAAGAAATATAGGAATTAAACAATATACCTGGCTTAAAGTCTTTAATAGTGTGGTTAGTGGAGCTAGATTAGATAGATTTTATATACGTAAAGAATGTAATAATAAAATTACAGAAGGTTCTTATGAACGATCTTATCTATGCACAATCAGCTTGTAACACTCCAAAGAGAAAGGAAAACTTGAAATCGCATCATATGACCCCTTTAAGCATAGTAACTTGAAGATTTTCCATAGCAACAATATAACTCACTCAGATAATGACCACTCAAGATCTGGTAGATCTCAAGAAAATCTGTTGTTATGACATACATTTTTAATAAATATCTATGCTCTAGGATTTATGAAGTGTCTCTATGTCTCTCTTCTCTTCAGGATATAAATTCCCCCAGGTTCCCTGACTCACTATTGTCTTTTATCAGATTACCACCATGGTTAACTTTTGAAGAACACAAAAGACTGTTTTTCAGTCTCCCAGAACTCATATACAACCTCCGCAAAGTTAGCCAATTATTCAAGATGGGAAGATTCTATCAGAAATTTTACAGTAAGACTTATTCTATATCCATGCATGGCATTAATGCACTCTTTTTTATTGTTTTTATCTTTTTTATTTCTTAACTTAAAAATGCTTATGCAGACTGAGTTTATAGAATCAAGACAGCTGTGTTCTCTTTTATGATATGTTTACATTTTTTAATTTAGTCCCTGTTGACATGTTTCGAGTATTTGGCCTGGTCATCACTTATGCTTATCCATGAAATTATCAAAACAATTTTTGTGTAGGCCTATATTAGAACTTTTGGAGAAAAAACAAACAAACGATCAAACAAGCAAAAAAAAAAAAAGTTGCTCACCAGTGTTTGCTAACGTTCATGCATGTCATTTTTACATTCTGCAAATTACATGTTTTTAAGAATGTCATATGTGACCATGGACCACAAAACCAGTCATAAGGGTCAATTTTATGAAATTGAAATGTATACATCATCTGAAAGCTGAATAAATAAGCTTTCCATTGATGTGTGGTTTGTTAGGATAGGACCAATTTTTGGCCGAGATACAACTATTTGAAATCTGGAATCTGAGGGTGGAAAAAAATCTAAATATTGAGAGAATCACCTTTAAAGTTGTCCAATTGAAGTTCTAAGCAATGCATATTATTCATCAAAAATTAAGTTTTTATATATTTACGGTAGGAAATTTACAAAATATCTTCATGGAACATGATCTTTACTTAATATCCTAATGATTTCTGGCATAAAAGAAAAATTTATAATTTTGACCCATACAATGTATTGTTGGCTATTGCTACAAATATACCTGTGCTACTTATGACTGCTTTTGTGCTCCAGGGTCACATATATGCTGATTATGTATTGTGTTACCTTTTGAAAAAATGTCATACCTTTCATACTGACAGTTTAAAACCGGTACTGTGAGCACCAACATTTTTGGATCTTGGGAGATTTATGGTTTATATATACTTTGAATATATACTTCTTTAAGAAAGCACATGTCACACATTTGTATGTTTTATATTATATGCACCTACTGGTGTATATACAGTAGCTGGTCTCTTGTAGTTAGGCTTATGGTCATGCACATGCAAGTTATGTTGTTTCATTCT